TAATATAATATAAATAAATAATATTTCACTCTCATTCCAAACCCATATGACTTTCTCCCTGCTTTAAAGAAATGGACTTGTTGTTTTTCATGAAATTAAAATGAGTGGAAACTGATTTTGTGTTTACATATTTTACTTACTTTTGAATTTTTCATTTGGGGAAATTAAAACAGCGTGTAAAAATAATCTTCTTAACAAAATTCTTAAGTAAAAATATGTAAACATCCTTAAAACTTTTAAATGTAGAGATAAAGTAAATATGTAATACACACACGCACACACACACACACTCACTCACTCACACACACACACACACTGTGCTATTGCCCTACACCAACCCTACCCCTAAACCTACCCCTTACAGGAAACTTTCTGCATTTTTACAATTTAAAAAAAACTTTGTTTACTTTACTTTTATACCAGTTTTACAAATGAGGACGTCCACAAAGGGAGGTTTTTTGAGATTTTGTCAGGTTTAGCTCACTTTTGGGTACAAATTTGTCCCCAAAATATGGTTAAGTAGGTACACACACACCAAAGTTCAATTGATACATATAGAATCCCGTGCTCTCTCTCCCCGTCTCTCTCTCACTCTCTCTCTTTCTATCTCTCTCTCTGTCTCTCACCTGGTGGAGACCCAGTGTCCCTGGATGCTGGGTGGCATCTGGACAGTGATGCGAGCACCGTTCTGCAGGTGTTTCAGCATGTGGAGACACTGTGTGTGTTTGGATGGCCAGACGAGACTCTTCTCTAGAGCCAGACGAGGAGACGAGCCCTTCACACAACCTGATGAGATCAAGCACAGCAAACACAGCTCATCTCATGCTCATTCACTCATGCAGACCGAAACACTGAAATAATACGATCTGAAAATGTACTCCAGTTATCAACACTGAAAAATCATTTTTTACATTGTAAAGCTTGTAGAGCAAAATCTTCCTCAGAAAATTACCTAGCATTTGAGAAACACTCCAGCAACACCTTAAAGGGATAGTTACCCTGAAATGAAAACTTTCTGGTAATGTACTCATCCTCAGGCCATCCAAGATGAAGAAGTCTTTTTTTTCTTCGGTAGAACAGTAAAGAAGATTTTTAGCTGAAACGGTGCTCCTTGGTGATTCATATAATGAAAGTCAATAGCTACCGTCGCTTTGAGAGTAAAAAAAATTATATACAGGCAACACAAAATGAATCCTCGTGGCTCCTGATGATATATTGAGGTCTTATGAAGAGAAACGATCAGTCTGTGCAAGAAACTGAACATTATTTACAACATTATTAGCTGTAATCCAGAGCCTCAGGCAAACGGTCTGGAGTGCTGTCTGAACGAATCATTCTTTTGAACTGATTCTTTTTAGTGAACTAGTTGAATCAGTTAATCGAATCAGACTGAATCATCTGAATCAGTACGCGGCTCGAGCAGCACAGATCTACAAGTTACTGAATCAGAACTCACTTTCAGACGCCTGACAGTCACTGCGACTCCAAATGAGCCGAAACAGCAGCGAATCAGATCCTGTGATGAATGAATCATTCAGAGCTGAGGAAACAGTTCGACTCGGACCGAAGACCGATGAGCCGCTGATCTGCGCATGCGTGAACCCAACACGGGGTCAAATGAACGTTTTTATAATTTCTCATGGTTTATGTAAAACAGTGAGCTGATCAAGATGAGTTTATTCACTTTATATGCTCTAGACACATAAAACATCCACGTTTCACATCATTATTGGGTGCTTTAATAATATAATTGCGTATACGTGACGTCATTGTGTGATTACATAAATTAACTAGTGAATCAATTCATTAAATCGAACTGTCCGAAAGAATCAGTTCACAGAAAAGAATCGTATTTCACTGTTTGCCTGAGGCTCTGGATTACAGCTAATAATGCTGTAAATAATGTTCAGTTTCTTGCACAGACTGATCGTTTCACTTCATAAGACCTCGATATATCATCAGGAGTCACGGGGATTAATTTTGTGTTGCCTGTTTATGTGTTTCTGCCTCCGGAGTCATTGACTTGCATTGTATGAATCACCAAGAAGCACGATTTCAGCTAAAAATCCTCTTTACTGTTCTACTGAAGAAAAGTCTCCTACATCTTGAATGTCCTGAGGGTGAGTAAACTACCAGCAAAATATGACTTAAATGACCTTTAAACTAATTAAACTAACTGTCCAGCTGTGTAGCTGAGTAATATCAGTTTATGTTAGCACTGAAGCAGAATTTATAAAGGGTTCATTCACAAAAAGAAATATATAGATATGTCAAAAGTAAACATGCATGCAAACATGTACAGTATGTATCTACACTGCGATGATGCCTGGTTGTAAAGATTTCTACACAATGTTTAGATCAGAATTAAAAATTAATGATATTAATCTACATTAGAGGATATAAAGCGCTTTAATGAATGTGGGAACGAGCCGCTGCTGGACTGAGAGCAGCTATTATAATTCATTTTCACATAATGACACTTGGAGCAAATAAAGCTGATGGCTGGATAACAGCAAACACATTTCTGGCCGGCGATCAGGAGCCGCATGAGGAAAATCTGAGAGAATCTGAGCACTAAAACCTCGGAAATGAAAGTATTTGGGTGCCTGAGGCTGCAGCTCTGGATTCCACACGAACGGTTCTGTTAAGAGTTCTTCACAATGCCAATGAAAAAGCTTTATTTGTAAGAATGTCCGCCCGTGTTTATTTTTACGGATCATAACGCAACACTGTGTTCTCCAGCTGGAAACATTAGTAACGCTCCAGTGCTTCACTCATATCAAAGTCTTTAACACCTGCAAAACACATACTGTACACTATAGCAGTCAAACGTTTCGGGTCAGAAAGAAGAATCTCTTCTGCTCACCAGTGCTGCATTTATTTAATCAAAAATACAGAAAAAACAGTAATATTGTGAAAATGTATTTTAATTTAAAACAGCTCTTTTCTATGTGAATATATTGTAAAATGGAATTTATTTCTGTGATCAAAGCTGAATTTTCAGCATCATTACAGTTAAACTCATCTAGAGAAGGTTTAAGTCCTTCTCAAGTTACTAAACCTGGTTTGATGTGGCTTTAAACCACTTTATCTGTTTTGTGAATTATTCTCTACTAGCTAAATGAATAAATGACATACTACTGTTTCTTGAAAGAAATTAATACTTTTATGCAGCGATGCTGCATTAAATTGATCAAGAGTGACAGTAAAGACGTTTATAATGTTACACATGATTTCTATTTCAATTAAATGCTGTTCTTTTGAACTTTCTATTCATCAAAGAATCCTGAAAAACAAAATGTATCAGTTTCCACACAAATATCGTGCAGCACGACTGTTTTCAACATTGATAATAATCAGAAATGTTTCTAATAATCAGCATATTAGAATGATTTCTGAAGATCATGTGACACTGAAGACTGGAGTAATGATGCTGAAAATACAGCTGCGCATCACAGAAATACATTACCGTTTAACAGATATTCACATAGAAAACAGCTATTATAGATTCTAATTATTTTTAACAATTTTTACTGTATTTTTGATCAAATAAATGCAGCCTTAGACTTTTTGAATTTTGGAACGTTAGCATAAATGCACTTAATTTAATTCTGAAGTCTAGAGCATAACTATAACTAGTTATGGGTTTAATATTTTCAATTATGCATCAATGAACTGACACTTCAGTGTCTTTCTCACACTAATTCATGAGCATTTTTATCCATCCGTTGTTAATGCTGAAGCCAAACGTCAAGTGTGTTTGGTTCCCAGCGCTGCTTTTCTACTGTATCTGAATCCAAGCGTCCGCAGCGCTCTGGAGAACATCTCCAGCTGGTGAGCTAACAGCTCAAATCTCAAAGCCTTCCGGAGAGCCGCTCTAACTGCCCTCTCGTTCATTCTGATTATATGTACAAGTTTATGAGCTTGCAGACGTTTTAATGGCCGCATGATTCAGTGGAGGAAAGGGTTTGATGTGGATAAGAACATGAGATTACAGCACATGCATTTAGACAAGCATAATGGGCTCCGAGCTCAATGCTTATTTTCTCTCTAGCAGTCTGGTGCCTAAGATCTTTGCTTTTTTACATTTATTATGTATTTTTCTCAGATTTGATATAAGTTTTGCCAATTTACACTATGACACTATGCAGTTAATAAGACACTGTTGATGCATAAAATAAGACAACAACATATATAAAACTGAATATAATTGATATTATATTATCAAACTGCATAATTATGTCATCTTAAAGTGGCCATATCACACTATATAATCACATTACACTATATATATCACATTATATAATGTTATAATTTACAAACACTATGTAACAAATATAAAGCATTAAATGACCCTGAAACTCAATTCCAGGAGGCAAATTTTGCCATTGAAAAGAAATATATATTTCAGAAACATTTCAGATATTGTTATATAGCAAAAAAAAAAATAAAAAATTGAAGAACTTGATAATTTGAGTGTTGCAAACTAGGTAATTATGTTATCTTAAAGGGGTCATATCATAATTTATTTTACATTTATTGTTTCTTTTTTTCCAGATAATGTTTTTTAGCCAATTTTCAGACATGTAGATAATATAAAGGAGGCAAATATTGACACTTAATAAGAAATGTTCATTTCTAACATAAAACTATATACATAAAACTGATCTTAACTCTTTCAAATTGAGTAATGTTATCTTAAAGGGGTCATATCACACTTTTTTATGTTTATTATTTGTGACCCTGCAGCACAAAAGCAGTCTTAAGTCGCTGGGGTATATTTGTAGCAATAGCCAACAATACATTGTATGGGTCAAAATTATACATTTTTCTTTTATGCCAAAAAATCATTAGGATATTAAGTAAAGATTATGTTCCATGAAGATATTTTGTAAGTTTCTTACTATAAATATATCAAAACTTAATTTTTGATTAGTAATATGCATTGCTAAGAACTTCATTTGGACAACTTTAAAGATGATTTTCTCAATATTTTGATTTTTGTGCACGCTCATCCTCAATCTAAACTGTCTCATAGTTTCAGGATGTTTCTGAGCATTCAATAGTTAACGGTCACGTGTGGATGTTCGTCTGTGACCTCAGAAAGTACCTGAGTTGTTTGTGACAAACAGAAAGTTTGTGAGTTGCTTTGGTTAAAAGCATCTGCTAAATTAATAAACGCAAGTTCAAAATTAGTCGTTTAGTTTTATTAAAGGGACAGTTCATCCAAAAATGATCATTCTGTCATCATTTACACATCATCATGTCTTTCAAACCTGAAAACTTTCTTTTGTGAAACACAAAAGAGTACTGGGGTCTAAATGATATTGGACCCCACTGACTTCTATTATATGGACACAAAAAGACATTTTTCAAAATATGGGGTTGAGTGAATTATTTTTGAGTGAACTGTCCCTTTAAGATGTTCTGCACATTCTCTGTGTGTTCTAGCGTCTAACACACTTCAGGAGTCGCCTCTACACTCTAAAAAATGCTGGGTTAAATACAACCCAGTGCTGGGTAAAATAGGGACAAACCCAGCAATTGGGCTGTTTTGACCCAGCGGTTTGGTTATTACCCAGAAAGTTGGGTTAAACATTTAACCCAACCGCTGGGTCAAAACAGCCCAATTGCTGGGTTTGTCCCTATTTTACCCAGCACTGGGTTGTACAGAACTCAATCTGTGTTCTTCCCTCTTAATCTAACAGGGCTAGAAATGAACCAGAAGTGACAAAAATGCCACATATATTTACAATTTGAGGGCAAAAGCACTTAATTTCTTCATAGCATTCTTTTCTAGACTAGAGACACTAATACGAAGCGTAGAAATGACCCTGAAAATCAAGAGTGTACTTTTAAGTCAATACATGTTGAATAAGTTAAAGTGACAACTACAACTTGTTTAAAGTTACATTTGTAACAAAACGTTTTTAACCTTTATTCTTTGGAAATAGTTAATGTTTTAACATGTTTTTTTTTTGTTTTTTTTTTGACTGCGCGATACCAAAGACATTTTTGTTGGTATTTTAAATGTACTTAATATAATATAATATTAATATAACCCTAAACAGGACATTTCTAGCAGGTAAGATGAATGAAAACACTCACCAAACACCATCATCATCATCATCATCAGGACACACACAGCCATTATTCCCGCAGAATGCGAGCGGTTTTCCCTCAGTAGCTTCATTCCTCAGATTAAGCACACATGAAGTTTCTCTTTTATCCAGAACTTTAAGATTGTGGTTCGAGAACATCCATCCGACCCACACGCACTGCAGACGCACACGACGCGCGAGGAGAAACATCTGAAACACTGGCGCTCCAGCGCTTCACATGAGAGCAGAGCAGGAGAAGAAGCCTTACTGGAGAGAGAGAGAGAGAGGTTTCGACTCAGAGCTGAATTCCATTAGGAATCTCAAATCCAGACCACATCAAACAGATCCTGATCTCAGAACGATTAAAATTCCTCCTGCTCGAGCGTGCAACTTTTTTTTTTTGCCGAGGACATTTACTTTTCTTGTGTAATTAAATATAACACACACACACACACACACACACACACACACACACACACACACACACACACACACACACACACACAGACACAGACACAGACACACACCCACACATATATATATATAAACACAACAAAATTACTAAAACAACTAAAATGAAAATAGAAAATATAAAAATAAAAACTGATTCAAAATATTAAAACTAGAATATCTCAAAGACACTAAATTAACACTGATATAGATTTTTTATTTATTTAAATATTTTATACACAAATTTAGTAAATTTAGTAGGAATGAGCCTTTTTTAACCTTTTACTTGAAGATTTAAAAGTTCTACATTTATGTGATTTCTGAGTCATCTAATAAGAAAGCTTTGAAAACTGTAAATCTTTTCAAAAGATTATTTCCTTGCCCTCTGGCATATAACATCATTCTATCATTCTGTATTACTTTAGGTTAGCACACACACACACACACACACTCACACTCACACTCACACACACACACGCGCACACAGACACGCACACTCACGCACACACACACACACACACACACACACACACACACAAACCTGACAACAT